TGTTGTTGTTGTTGTTGTTGTTGTTGTTGTTGTTGTTGTTGTTGTTGTTGTTGTTGTTGTGTCAATTGATAGGACTGTGCTTGAATTTAATTCCAAATTATAATGAATGCGGGGGTGACTTTTGATCCTGGATTGATTTATGAACTTGTGTTGAATATTGTACATGTATTATTTTCTCAATTTAGACATTTTGCGAGGCAGTGCCTTTCATTGTCTGAGTATGTAGCAAAAAAAGTGGATCATATATTTATTTTTTCTCAGACCAGTTATTGTTGTGCCCTCCTTGGAGGAATCTCTACAACTATGCTTAACAGGTTACATGTTAAATATCAGGTCAGCCCTGAGTAGGTCAAACACAATTGATCACATCACCCCTAATTTTAAAAACAAAAGCAAATCCTGTTCTGGATTTTTCTATGTAGTCTTGTAATTATACTTTTATTTTTTAATGGGATATTTTGTGAAGTCTTTCACCAAGACTGTTTTTGAAGGTGTTATATTAAATTTATATTATACCTTTGCCGCTGGATTTCAGCAATCTTCTAAAAACATTACAACATTTTGTGCTGTAATTAAGCAGGTCAAATTCTACTCCGTTTCTGCCATAAAGGTACTGCTCAATTTTCTTCACATACCATCAGAATAAGAAATAATAGTCCTTCCAAGATGGCTTTAATACACTGAAGGACATAATAACAGGAAAGAAGGCTAAATGATCGAAATAACGTATTTAACTGTTCCTAATAGAAGGTGGTTCATTAATAATTTGGACTTATTAAAGTTGAACTTGATAGTCAACATTATAATAAACTTTGTTTTAGGTAATGTCATTAAAATAATCATCTCATTTTATTAGGAAACATATTTTGCTCAAAACACAGTTCCTGTTGCGATTGCAGAATAATTTTTTAGAGATGATCATTCCTTATAAATATGTTTATTTTTTCTTTTTTCAAAAAAGTGACAAAATTGAAAATACTACAATACGAGGCATTTGCTGGCCCCTGAATACTGAGTAAAGTGGCAACGTCAGAAGAGCTTGATTTACAAAAAAATCTGTTTTCCGATTCATTCGTAAGAACACAGAAAAACTCCTTTCATAATGTAGACATGGATGTACAGTTAAACTTTTCACGTTATTCTAAACTTATATCAGAAGTAAAACCAATCATTCATTAAATTTAAATACTTCAAGACTGACAGTAACCCTGTGTTTTTAATGGGAAAAAAGCCATACCTAGTAAATATACTTTTGAAGAAATATACTTTTTAATCACTTTATCACACACTCTCTAGCCTTTGATAAACCAGACTGCTACTGCTGTGACTGACCATGAATAAGAACCAAAGTGAAAGTCTGAAAAAGGATAATCTTCACCATACTAGTGGTATGTCTAGAGAACAAAGTAAAACAAATATCTATGTCAGACTTGTGTCTCTTCATTTTGCAAATCCAAAGGTTAAGAAGGCTTAAACCAGAATGGGTTGTAAATGAAAACTAAGGGTTGATGTACTGTAGCAACCAACAATTGTCTGAATGAGTGTAGACTGAAGTGTTGATTTTGATTGTATGATTATGAGGTATTTCCTTTCACAATATACACAATATACACCCTTCAGCTCCTCAGGCAATGTGAGAGAGCAGTACTATGGCTGAGCTCATTGCCCAATGACACAAAAATCTATGTGTAAAAAGCATGTATATAGCAACACCTAGTGGAACATTTAAAGAGCACTGTAGGGTATTTCTAGGGTCCTTATAGTAAATGCAAGTTGTAACATCCTGTTGTGATGGAAATTATTTTATGTTTATCTTTGAAACTGCCTGAGGTCACAAACGGACCCTAGCAACTTCACACTAAGCCGGTATACTGGAACAGACCATTCATTCAATTTGTGAAAAAAAATTCCATCCTACAGCGGCCATTCAAAAACTCCACGTGAGTTAAAACTTGGCGGGTTTCAATCACAACCAAACCTTTTTCAATGTTGCACCTGAAAACTTTCTGTGATGATGTTTCCACCCGCAACCTTTATGAGGAATGCAAGAAGCTTCTCTGGCTCAAAAACTATTTGGAAAGTTAACTCCAACCTTTATTATGTAAGTATAGGATGAATAACTGAAAATGGTGTTTCTGCATAAACGAGTATAGCCAATTCATTGTTCTATGCAGCTTATAACTTGACATTTCCTGTATAAGAACAGCTTGACCAATTAACTTCAAACTATCATTCTAATGTGCATGATATAAACATGTGACACGCTGTACCTGCATGTACCAATATTGTCACATCGCACAGCAGCAGCAGTAAATTCTAAATTCAGCCAGCAAATTCAAATTGAATTCCAGATTCTGATCTCTATAAGCACAAAACAAATAATTTCAGGGAATTAATGTTTAACGGAATTTAATTGCAAACATTGATAGCAGATTTTATTTTATTTAAAGAAATTTTTATGATAAAGGAGATTAAAAATGTTACTGTGTGTCCTTCCCATCTTAATTAATCTTTTGCTGCACATACTGTAGATAGCACTCTTACACTTCACTCCTTATTATAAAAATTAGGTTTGTCTTATGTGTAGTGCTAATTATTCTGGCTCATTTTTATAGAAAATAAAATTCTATAAAAAAGGTTCATCTCCATTGAACTGATAGAAAATATCTATATCTTTCTAGATATACAGCATCTAAGATATCTGGATCTTTCATGTCTGTGCTAAACCAACCAGGGCTTAGAAAATTTTAAAAGGGTACATACTAATCACCTCCTAAAGACAAATACTTACATTAAAGAGATTAAATATGTTGAAGATGCAGTTAAACCATAAAAATACAAATAATTTTTAAATCAGATAACTTACATGATAAATTTCAGTAGAGTCTTTAGATCTCTGAATGAAAAAAAAGTCTAGTGTTTTTTAATTCCCCAGTGCATAAGGTGTTTTGGGGGGGTTTTCAGACATTCTGTGACTCTTAGTTGTAAAAATGTAGTTGTGTCTCACAGTAAAGATCAATGTACACTGGTCTGAACCTTGAACAGAAAGTTTTGATAAAATAGTAGTTAGGCGGTTTTGTTTATGGATGGGTTAAAGATCGACCTTCTTGATCAATGAAATATTCTGATTAGACAAGAACAATTGTGACACCACCAGAGTCCTGTACACCACTTCAGACACAAAACAGGTGTGTCCACTGCTCTACACAAGACCCTCACAACCTGTTGGGGTATTTTTTCACCTTGTCCTCTCAATTCATACGTACTCTCTGCCAATAGCAGTGTTGTTTCCAGCCCTTTTGTCAGGGCATCAGAAAACAAGACACGTATACGTAGAAACCTCCAAGCCCTCGGCTAGCAGAATCTCAGGTCCAAGGCTACATGGACCACACTCTCTTCCTCAATACATCGTATTGCCAGGGAAAGGGTCCTTCTATCACACTTACATTCTTCCACACACACTATCACACTAATGCTCACACTACAGGAAATGTACTTTTTAGACAGCCCCGTTCTCTCATTCCTGAACAGGCGGCCGTCCTTTAAAATAACTAGATCATTTAAGTTCCCTCTGGAACTTCCTGCTCCTTCTGGGGTTCCTGATGTTATACCCTTTTTTCTTATCTTCTTACCCATGTTCTTCGAGACTACGGCCAACATTTTTCACCTCATCAATGTATCTCGAGCTGCAGCCTGTTTGCATGTTCTCATAGCACAGCTATCAGCAGTGTCTCACACCCACTGCTAATTCTCTCTCGCCCTGCTTCAGCCTGGATAGCTCCCTTCTGAGCTTCTACATACGTCAGGCAATCATAGAGTGAGTGAGGGCCAGTGTCTGTAGAAGCACTGTTATGCCAGGTCTGTTGCTTCCTTTCCTACATGATAAACACAACACCTGATCTAATGTTTGTTCAGCTCAGCTCCGCTCAGCTCAGCTAGGACTAAGTTTGCTTTGATCCCCCTCAGGGAAGTATTCAGCCTAGTCTATTAGTCACACTCCCAGTTGAACTGCCTTAGCTTGCAAATGCTCTTCAGCTGTGGCTATAAAGTAACGTGTAGTTCTCTGTCGAGAGAGCCAAACACATTCCATATGATACCACACAATAGAGAAACAGATAAATGAATATTAAACTCAAACATAAAAAATAGGTTTAGACTGTATATTCGTAAAACCTAACTATGAAAAACAATTTACATACAAACTGTGGCACCTGACTTATTTTGGATAAGTTAAGGGTAAGCTGTAAACCAACATTAATAAGACACAATATTATCACCCTTAAAGTGAAAGTAGGCATTTTTGACTTGTTGCAGTTGACTGACTAATATAAATGCCAACATTTAATCTTGGGATTGAAGCTGTTGGTGTTTTTGTACCCAAAGGGCTGTAATAACATCAGTTTCCTTGTTCATTGGGGAGTTTACTGACATTGAGAAGAAAACAGATACCTCTGGTCACAGTCCTTCTGCAGGGGCACTGGAGACTGTAGCTGCTGGATGTGGTTCACAAGTTTGATTCTTAAATCCAGTCTCTAAAAGCAACAGCTGTACGAAGGGGCTATGCTTCACTCTACCAGTTTAAACCAAAAAAAAATACTTCCGCTTTTTCCAAAAAAGCACAAATACAGTATTTCATGGGAAAACTGGTGATCAACTAGGCTCTCTGGTGAGCTCCTGAAATTATTCATATCATATCATATCATATTTCCCCAGTGTGTTGTTTTGAAAAGTCACTGTGACATTTTTAAAGATGGTCTGATCTTTTTGTTACAGTTTGATCGGGAGGTATTTTCTTCCAATGCCTGAAATCATTTCCATGAGCAACATTACAAACATGTCAAGAAGAAAGAGGCCAGAAGAGAACTGACCATTTTAAACCTTGAAAATATAAATATTACAAACAGGAAAGTGCCAATCTGTCTTGCTTATTTGGTTGCCAGTAGCTTAATGTTCTAAGAATTGTATTTATGCAGCCAGAGGAAACATTCATGATAATGAGGTGCGGGCTAAAAAGCATCTCACAATTTAAGCCTAAATTGCAAAACTAGAAATTTAAACTATATTAAAAACTATATTATAAAGCACTCAATAAAACAAAAAAATGCAGTATACGTGTTGAATACTCAGCGGCAGGTTATACTGCTATTTAGCACCACACCCACATCTACCTGTTAAGAGACAGTGAAAGAACCCTGAACGTCATATCACACATCACATCAAGCCCTTAAGTCACACCATAATATTTGCTAAAAACAAATCCTTTTTCTGATGTTTATAGAACTTTTTTTATCATCTTAAAAGGACGTGTTTTTAAGGAGATTAGCAGTCATCCGGCTACTTTTGGAAATTTAAGAGTCTCTGCTTCAAGAACAGTGAGTATTACGATTCAATAGTTTGTCATAATGTTTGGACCTGTTGAACTGTGTGTTTCTTCTCTTGTGGCAGACCTGGGAACATCTACGTTCAGTGCTACTTCATTGTAACACCTGTGAACGAGAAAATAAAACTAAAGATTCTTCATAGAATAAAAACTTAATTTCACGTGAAAGCTTTTTGTTGATATATTAGGAAATGAACAGGTGTTTGTGTTAAAGTTCTAATAAATTGTAGAGATAACTAAAAACTATAATGTAATGGATAATGTGCCAAGTGTTGAATATATTCTAAGAAAAATGTAATATGGGACTGATATAAAGTAATACTTTGAACTAGTTCATTAACATAGGATTGATATGTATTTTGTATTTTTTCCTATTTATTAATATTTTAAAGAACATGTTGATCTGACGGGATAAGAGGTAGTATATTCAAATGTACTATTTTGCGTGAGAAAAAGGCAAATGTTTTCTTTCTGCTGAGTACATTTATAGCACAAGAACTGTGTGTGTGTATTTATAGCAGAAGAACTGATCACTAGGCCCTTTGTATTTTTGCTGTGTACTATTATTTTTTACAGAAGGCGGCATCCAAATACCTTAAAATTGTATCTGTTTTGCTTCAATATGCAATAATAGGAACCAGTACCAGTTCCATGATTTTTAATAATTGTTGTTTAAACCTACAGTATGTGCTGTGTTCATCTCTTCTCTTGAGATCGATTTGAGAAAACTATGCGCATTACTCATTTGTAACAAGTGGGAGGTTTTTATTAGGAGAAAATAGAACAGAAAGAAAAAGTAACAATAATGTGAAAAAGGAAATTGTTGCACCGCTAGATTATTAATTTAACTAGTAATAGTTAACTAAGCTACTATGTATCATTCATCATAAATTAAACTCGTTTTTATGTTTCTTGCTGTAACAGATTTGGACAAAAGTGTTTTGCAAGGCAGTTGGAATCTGGAGCAACTGCTCATAATAATGTCGTAACCATCGTGTACCCAGAGATAGAGCCAAGGTGCTTCTTGATAAAAATAAGAGTTCGGCCTTTTGTGGAAGGACTATCAAGCCCTCTCCAGAAAGTGCCCATCGCATGCCGTCAGACAACATCCCCAGTGAGAGCTAGAAAAGGAAGGCACCCGTGAAAGGTTTTTGTTGTTGGAGTGCTGTCCAAGTCGGCATGAGCTTTGCCCTTCCTCTTCCCTTCAACCACCTTTTTGTGCCCTGTGTTACTTTGTCTCTCTGATTCGCACAAAATGTTTGGAGCTAAGGCTTGTGGTAACCCTTGCTAACATGCACTGGTGCAACGTGTTTCATCACATTGGTGTCAGAGCAGCCTGCAGGACATGTTCGGTTGTATCAGGGCTGTGGGGGTTCAGTCTTAAGAAATATCACCTCCTTGGGTGCAAGTTAAAAGTGCTGGAGCACACTGTAGAACTAAGGGGTGGACAATTGTATTGATCTCAAAACGCTTTAAAGTGTATCATAGCAGATTGCTGCTCACAAACAGATGTGTAGGAAGACAGCTGGCTTAGCGTTGAATATGCAAGGTCGGGGGACTAAGGACAGTATTATATTATTCTCTTAATACCTTTGTGAAGATCAGCTTTCAGCAAATCTGACCAACTTATGCTAAGAGCATTTTGTCATGTAGTAAACAGAAAAGATAAAAGACATATATGCCAGACATAAAATAAGTCAAAGATATTTTTTTGGATGCATATTCAATATATTTAAGGTGTAACACCACAGTAGATGTCTCAAATTATTTAAGCATAGGCCATTTTTATTTAAGGGTCATTTGGTTTATGGTCTCCTGGATACCTGTTCCATAATTGGCCATAATTCTTAATAAATGCTCAGTCAGTCATTTGAAATATCCTGCAGAGCAGTTTATTAATGTTGTTCCTCATCTACAGTATTTGAACAACAAATGCATAAATGCCATCTGATACAGATCATTTGCTTGTTGGAATTGCTCCTATTTTTTAGCAATTTTTTTACTACTTTTAACACTTCACGCACATATATGAATCAAATGCATACTGGATGTGAAATAATACGGAGTGTGATTGTCTTTTTACCTTGCTATGCTATAAGTTCAGTTTGATGGTACTTAATGACTAGAAATACTAGCATGCCTGTTTGCTGATGTCCCTAGAACCACAACAAGTGTTTTTCACTTATCTTTTAATGGACAGCTGCTCCTTTGTTTAGCAGCAACGGTCTGCTCATAGCCTACATAGTGTACATACCATTGCAGGTGTGTCAGAAGGTAGCTAATTACAGTATGAACATTTCAGGTTCTTCCTTTCTTCTGTATCTCAGGCTGAGAGTAAGATAAACTCACTTTATTGGCCATATAAAATTTATTGTGTTAGGAATTTGTCTTTTTGCATACCCCAACTTGCCTTGCTCTCTATAAGACACACAGGGAGAGAAGCTTGGGGTCAGAGTGCAGGGTCAGCCATTTATACGGCACTCTTGAAGCAGTTGGGGTTAAGGGCCTTGCTCAGGGGCCCAACGGAGTAGGATTCCCCTACTGGCAACAGGATACGAACTGGCAACCTTTCAGCCATAGGTATAGATCCTTAGCCCAGAGACACCACACCACCATGTGGTACTGCATTAGTACTCAGTACTGCATGAATTGTACACTGAGTATTAGAAAGAATACAACCTTTCTTTTTAGAACCTTAGCTAAGGTGTGGAGACCTGCTTTTCTTTTATTTCCAAAACTGTCTTCCCTAAAAAGCTTTTACAGACACTATAGGGCTTGTAACTGCTTTAATGTAGTTCTACTACATAATAATTAAGACAGAAACAATACATACAGATGAACAGAGACATGCAGAGACCTTTTGGTGGGTACTGTGGAACTTTCTGGGGCAGGATTTGTTACTAGAGTATCCTGAACACAAATCAGTGCCAACTTGTATATCTGTGTATTAAAATTTCATAGGAAGTTTGGATGTGACTTCAGAGGCAATATAATATTCACAACCTTGGCAAAAAAATGGTTGTCAAGAATTGCTGATTATGTTTGATTAACAAGATATAACACCCCCACTACTGAGCATATACTTTATTTTCCTGATATAACACATCTTAACAAGAGGACAGAGCAAATAAAATAAATACCATCTAATTACATGCAATACCAAATGCAATCTCTTTCCATCTTTAAAGATTAGATAGATAGATAGATAGATAGATAGATAGATAGATAGATAGAT